AAAAATGAATAAAATGGATAAGAAAAGATAGATTTTATATATTTTCTCTCTTATACAAACATCACAGAGGAGCGCTTTACATTATTCTACGAATGATCCGAATGATTCGAATGATCCGAATGATTCGAATGATCCGAATGATTCGAATGATCCGAATGATTCGAATGATCCGAATGATTCGTTTGATCCGTTCATAGTTTTGACGGCTTCCCTTAACGTCTTTTACTTCGCTTTCTTTTATAAGAAGGTTCCGACGCTTGAGAAATACTTCAAAATAACTTGTCGTTCAACACACTCATGTTTCTTCAGACGCATTCTATTTTCATTTTCTCAACTTTGTTCAAGTTAATTTACGTTGTGAGAAAGAGTGATCTTCGATAAACAAGTTTGTGTAGTTTAGTGATGGACTAGATAGCCTAAGCTCGACAGAGGATAAATGATTTCTTTCTGAGGGCGTGAAAATAAGATGTACAAGTCAGACTCTTTCAACATACTCACAACTGGTGCAACATAATACGCTTTGAAGTATCTTGATCGTGAGATGAGATAATACCTTTGCGGAGACTAGTTCACATGCCTCAAACCAAAACGTTTTTTTGCAGAAACTTCTATGAACTAGTTTTCATTCAAATAAAGAGTAATCAAACGATACCTTTATTTTGTTGTTGTTTTTCTTCTTCTTCAATTTTTAATGTTTTTAACCAATATACACAAGCCTGATCATAATCATTGTTGTTCCAATATGAAAATCCAATTTTATCAAATATCGATGATGTTTTTTCGTATTTATATTCTAAACATTTCAAATAGGCGGTAATAGCTTCCGGAAACATATTTTTTCCATCGTAACAGTAACCAATAGACTTATAGACAATACTAATCTGTTTTTCATTATTTTTTTCTTTTTGGTGGAAATGAATTGATTTCATGTAATAATCAATCGCTAAATCAAATAGTTTTGCTTCCCCATAACAATTACCTAAATTGCTGCAGATAATAGCTAAACTAGGGAAATCTTGGGCCGTTTCTAATGCCATTTGGAAATAGTTTATAGCTAACAGATATTCTAATTGCTTACAATATGTTAAACCGATTTTATTCAATGTGGCGGCATCATTTTTTTTCGTGTCTAAAGCTTTTCTATAATATTCTACAGCTTTTGTGTAATCTTTTATATTACCATAACAATCACCGATAGCTCGATAATGATAGATGATATCTTGTGGTAGTGATTGTTGACCGTCAAATAATTTAAAATATTTTAGATAATATTCAATTGATGTTTCAAATTGATCATTCCGATAATACAAGAAAGCTAAACATTCGAACATTGAATGACGATCAAATATTGTAGGTGAATATTGTTCATATAGAAGAAGTGCTTGCTCATAATAGACTAATGATGTTTTATAGTCACATAAACGACTATAACATGCGCCAATTGAGTGATTTAAACTTGCCGATTTTTCTCCATTATAACTTATATAATTTAATTGATGCAATTCTAATGATTTCTGATAATATTTTAATGCTAAATGATAATTTTCTTTTTCATTAAAATAAATTAAAGCAATTTTTTTATGTAAATTGGCAACCGTTTCTGCTGTTGTTGCGGCATCCTTCGTCGACAGTAACTCAATATGTTTCTCAATGTATTTTATTGTTCGGTCGTAAGAGCAACTATTGCTACAATAATAAGCATGTAAACGAGTTAAACGAACTTTATCTTGAGAATTAGTAGGTGGTAGTCTCAACATTCTTAATAAATGGGAACTAAATCAGCATGAAGAAATTTTACTTATTGTTAATAATTCTGCTGCTGTTGTATTATGTAATGTGTTTATGAGAATATTAAAAAAAGTGTGTCACGTCACATAACGAAAGAGGAATGATACGCAACAGTGATTTCAGATGATGATGCAATGCGGTATTTTCCAACCGACAGAGTACTTCTCATTTGAGAAATGAAGAAACGATCCGTGGGAGAATCAGGCATAAGATGCTCAGGAACGTCTACGTTATAGTATGTTTGAGGCATGACCCAGGTAAGCAAAAAAACGGGTGAAATGACTAGTCTTTTTTCCCAGTCCGGACGACTGTCTCGATTAGTCTTTACGACAAAAACGACCTTGTCATGACTAGTCCAAAATTGTAACTGTCGCTCATACAAATCTAGACTGTATGACGGACTGAAGTCAGCTAACACATCCCGACAAGTCTTTCCGCCAAAAACGACCCCGTCATGACTAGTCCAGAATGTCAACCGTTAATTAAAAGAAAACCGTCCGCAGTAGTATCGCTGACTAGTCTGCCAAGCTATATACTAACCACGTCTGGACTAGTCGAAATGAGAGAAAGATAGAGAAATAAACTAGAAGCGAACATGTGACACTTTATTTTACATATCTGCGATTGAACGAACTGAGCCATCAGTTTATGCATGCTAGTTTTTAGTATACGTGAAGAACATTTTGCTGAAGCTTTTTAAGAATCTAGGTCTTCGTTGCAACCTTATTATAACTTCCGAATAAATAGTTCTGAGCAAAAAAAATTTTCTTTGAAAATTTTAGTCCATGGTTGCATGGTTGAGCCAAGGGGAAAGGTTTCGAAAAACTTCTTTACTCAAAAATCCCTATAATATGCATCGTTCAATTCGGTTAAACCGAAAATTTCACGCCGATTCCAAATATCACCTCGCTTCTGTTTCAAACTCACATCTTTCTGGTGGAAAAATTGAAATTATTAGGAAAATTTTTCCAATTTCTTGCTACCGGCTACATTTGGTGTCTAAGTTTCTTCGTAAAGCTGCCATTGGTTACACTCTATTTTATACAGAATTATGGGGTAATGGGAAAATGCATACTTTTTTTTGCATACTGCATACTGCATACGCATATGATTGGTTAACATACTTTTTGAATACGAAGAAATGATGTCGCTGTATACCGAAGATTAGTGAATGCAGAGTACACCAGTTCACAAACGAGCTTTACGAAGTAGCTCTATAAGTAGTTCTTTAGAAAAGAAATTCTCGCTTAATGTTATAAAACTAGAGGAGAGAGC